AGTGGCTCCTAAGGTCTCTGAGAGAACAGTGAGTAACTGAATGCAGCCTCACCTGAAAACATAGCAGGATAAACTAACAGAGGAACTTGGAAACAATTAATAGTTTTGCTTTTCTTATATTTGAACTTAGAAATAACTCCTCCAACATCCAGGATGGGATTTCAGACACCAGGCTTCTACAGAGAAGGAATCCAAGTGAAAAGGGAGGTCCTTTGGTAAACACCATCTGATAAATTGGAATGCTGGAAAATTGACAGAGAGCATAAAAAAGTTGCCTCTGTCTGAAACAAGGTGTCTGTGTGCACATATAAATATAAATATATATTATCTATATATATTATATAGATGGATAATATATGTAATATCTTGCAGGAATATTCTTTTCAGACATGTGTGTGCGTATAAATATATATATTTGTATATAAAAATAGATATATGTATATATACATATAAAATATACTTTATATATTCTTTATATATTTATATATTTTATATATTTTAATTGTATATATTTTTATAAATTTATACATTTCATATATTTTATTTTATATTTGTATATATAAAATATAGATATATTTATATATCCCTATATTTCATATATAAGTATATATGTTTATACACACATATACATCTGAAAGGAATAGTCCTGCAAGATCCTGGTCATGGAAGTAGAACTCACAAAGCAGCAGCAGCATTGCAAATGCAATTGTCCTATTATACAGAATCACCAGGAAGAACATGCAGAGTTACCATGGGAGGAAAAAAACTACATCACCACCACCACCCCCACCAAAAGTAAAGCAAAACAAACCAAAAATCAAACAAACAAAAAAAAGAAAAAAGAAAAAAAACTACAATAAAACAAGCAACCAACCAACCAAGCCTTGTGCTCTCTAGGGATTTTTTTTAAATTCTGAAAATTTCTGCAGAAATCTGGTTTCCCACACGGTTGTGTGTTTCTCTCAGAAAGGTTCCAGGGAAGGAGGAGCAGGCTCGGTGTGCCAGCCAGCACAGCTGCCCTGTGCCACGCACAGAGCTGCCTTGGAACAATGGTACCAGCACAGGTACAGCATGCACTGCCCCCTCCGTGTCTCATTAACCTCACACGGGAAGTTTGTTTTCTCAAAGCTGGTTCTGGAACCAGGCAGCCTTTCCACCAACACAGGGGGCAAGGCCTTTTACAAAGCAAAACCTCTGCAATGAACTCCTCCTTCCAAGCCACCACTTCCCACCTGTAAAGGGGCTTTGTGCTCCTTCCTCTGCCCAGCATCCAGCAAGGATCTGCCACCCAAGGTCACACACCTGAGCAAAAGCCCTGAGCACCTCTCCTGGAAATAAATAGGCACAGGTGTACTGCTTTTGGTTTGCTAATTAGAGATTTTTTTTTTTTAAGGTACCAATGAGTGTGGTGGGTTTAGTGGTGGCACTTATTGGAATGTATTTACTTATTTTTTGTTGTGATATAGGATTAGGAGAAAGGTTTAAAACTTTAAAAGGGAATAAAGAAAAATTTATTAACAGCAATTAAAGAGAGAGAAATAAGAATTAGAATAAAACTTTTAGGATATTTCTCTTTTTCTTCCAATTTTTTCTTATTAATGATAATGTAAAGCAACAAAACTTGAAATTTTAATTTAATTTACTACTCTTAGAATAGTCACACTTCTGACCTGGAGCTACAGCATGGTCTCTTCTAGAAGGAAAGCCAGGCATTGCAATATCTTAAATTTCACCTCCCAAAGGGATCCTGTGTGTTTTATCCTGTGATTTTAGCCTGCAGTGATTAAGAAATGCCCTCGATTCCCTGGACAAAGCAGGAGAGGGGCAATTACCAGGTAATTTTCTACATTCTCAGAGAAAGTCCTAAACAAAGAAAGTTCAAAATCCCAAGCATCACAACTGGGAACACTTCATGCCTTGTTAAGAAAGGAAAAGACTAACAACAATTCTGGGTGGAAAAAAAAAGAAAGAAAGAAAAAGCAGCAGCATCCAGCCAAGAAGTTGTTGCTGGATATATCCAGTTTGTGGCACATGACCAGACTTACATAAACTAAAGAGTGTTTTGGCCTCTTTGCATGCCAGATGCCATTCCAGGTATTCCCAGGGTGCTCCTCCCCACAGCCACAGGCTCAGCCAGCTCCTGGTACCATGGTTTGCTTGGATGAGAAAAGTCTGCAGGGAAGAGTCAGCTGCTAAAACTCCACCTGAGACAGAAAGGTCACAAAACCAGCCCACTGCTCACCACAGATGGAATTACAGGAAAAGGAAGTAAACTTAGGCTGCCAGTTATACTCACCCAAAAATTGTTACTGTTAATTTAATAGGTTTGTATCACAAGCACAAAGCCAGCATCATGTCACAATCAGGGATGACCTCAACCACATTACAGTGTAAGGATGCAGCTGTGGTCATCACACCTCCCTTCTGTCCACTAATTAAAATCAGCTTGTCAGGTAACATATTTGCCTCCCAAATGTGTAATTTTCTCTCAAGGAAGAAAACCAAAACAACATGATCATAGCTTGGGCAATATGCATAATCAGAAATGTTTATCACGTGCATCTGGAATAGGTTTCAATTCTTTAAAGTTGGAAGCAGCAGGGAGACAATGAAGTTGATACCAGACACAGGACTTTTTAGGATACAGATAAGACTGTAAAATAATGAGAGACTTGGCAATTAAGTAGCTGAAGAAATTAAAATAGTGAAAATAAACAAAAACACCCCACCTAGCCTACTCATGCACAGAGATGGGCATTTAACAAAGCATTGACATTCTTCAGTGAAACCCAAGATTTGTTATTTCTTTGAAAATGATGGCTCAACAGCTGGCCACAGCCGAAAAAAAAAAAAAACCCAATGGAACATCAAGGATCATTACCAAAGACCTTGAGTACAAAATGCTAGATAAACACTCGTGTGCACAGTTTGTGCATCACTGCCTTTAAAATACCTCCAAGTTCATCATACTGCCTGAAAAACAAGTGTTTGTTCCTTGGTGTTTGATAGCACCCATATCCAGGCACCAACACCCAGCCTCCCACTTGGGAGGCTCAAGGATCAAAATTCAGCTCTTGGGCACTCTTTACTGGGTTGAACCTCCAGAGGCAGAGTGGCTGGTTGTGAAAGCCACCTGCTGGGCTCTCAGGCACTCAGAAAATAAACCCACCACCCATTTTTATAATGCAATATTGGGCTTTATCAGCTCAGACATTCATAGGCTTTATAAACCTTGCACCCCTGGTACTCCAATGCCATGACTCCCATTTGTGGCTTGTGCTGACACAGGTCTTGGTGCTTGAAACATCACACGAGAACCTGGGCAAACACTGAAGCACAATGAAAGCCCTCTGAGTGCCTTCTGTGCCCCAAAACTCTGTTCAAATGGGGGTCACAACAGTGTCAGCTTGGCGTTCACTCTTGCAATGTCCAGTGTCACCTATTTAAACTATAAACATCAATAAGGCCACTCATTTTTAACACATTTTTTAACAGTTTGCTGAGTCAAGGTCAGCATGCTAGAACTTGAAGGAATGCAGTCCAAATCTTGGCTTTGCATTTGAAGGACTAACTTTAAGAGCAATTTCTAACTCCCAACCCAGTCCTAGGAATGTCTGTGGTAGCAGGATTTCTGAGGAGGCATCCCCCACCCAGCACTGCTCACCTGGACACACAACCTGGGTCTTTTTCACTGCTTTTTCACTCAGGCAGGTGCAGCAGAACAATTAAATACGACGTTCATATATCCACTGAAATGCTGAATTTGAGAATTGGAGACGTTCCTGCAGAAATGCTAATTTTAAAACTTGGAAAGGTTCCTATCTGCTCCCTTCCACTTCAAGACACAGGGATTTAACTAGGTCTGACCCTTTGGCAGTGCTCCATGTAAGTGGCACAGATTTGCCTACTTAACAAAGCCCTTTTGTTTCTCACAGCTGTGAAATTCTGCTGCCCTGTAACTTCTTGTGTTTCCCAGGTTACCCTGGCACCAAGCTGTGACTAAATGTCTGCAAAGGGTTTTTAACTCCAGCTTTGGAAGAATATGACCACAAGGAAGAACCATGGCTCCCAGTGAGTGCCCCAGCAGGAACAATGCTCAAAACCAGCTTCAAATGTCCACAAAACTTCTGGGATATCTGTGGTGTAACAGATATCTCTGTTCTGTTCCTGGCTGCATGATGTTTGTATTTATTCCATTCCCCTTTCTCATGTTCAGCTCCATCATCCAGCACAAAGGGAGACAGGGGCTAGGACAGACCTGTTCAAAAGAATCAGCTTCTAGGATCACTTGTATTTTAAGAAACTTTAAATTTCAGAGCTGATTTCCTGCTCTGGGGGAATAAATGGATCTTTCCTCACTGATTCCACAAGGACAGGAAGCAATTCTAAGGACACACATATATGATGTCAATAAGACAACCTTACAGAATTACTTACAATCTGAATTAATCAGATTGTAACTGAACTAATGAACTACTGTGGCAAAATATCCTTCCCATTACTGTGATTTAAGTGGGAGCAGGTCTCTGCCATATAGAATAAACTAGTAGGAAATATTTGCAGGTGCTGGAGCACTGGTCTGTGGTAGCTCCACAAACTCCCTCCACGCCTTATGCAGTAGGACAACCAGGAGCTGTAACAAAATAAATAGAACAAAATAACCAGGATCTGTAATGAAATAAATAAAATAAAATAACCAGGACCTGTAATAAAGAGCCTTAAGAAGTTATTGCACTGGCAGACAGACCTAAGGGTGCTCTGCACTGGGGCCAAACATGAGGCAGTGCCAAATTAGATGCCAAGCATGGATGCACTAAACCACAGAGACACCTTGTATAACTCATATCAGCAGGGTTTTCTTTCATTTTTGTTACCTGAGACATTTAGGGGTTTATTTCCCCAGCTATTTAAGACATCCTAGGGCAGCAGGTAACTGCTGATGACCTTTCCTTGTTTGCTCTATTCAAATCTTAAAATATCACCATGACACAGCATTTTTTAAAAATGTAATTCTTAAAATTTATTGTTATTACCACAACACCCAGACCATGTCATAAACCAGGTTTCCAAATATTGACCACCTATACTATGCAGAAGAACAAATAATCCCTTTCTGAAAGGACTAATAATATAATAAAATAAATTTATGGAAAAGTGGGGCCCAAAGAATCCACAAATGCTGTCTACAGTCAATGACACTCTGGCAGAAACCATGTGAGAATTCCTAGATGAAATCTGGCATCACTTGGAGCCAAATGCAAAATTCTCTCTATTTTCAGTGAAACAGGACAGAGCACACATGCTCCTGCTTCAGAGCCCTTTGCTCAGACAGCTCAGACCTGGCATTTCCTAAGTTTTCCTATTTCTAGTCCTTGTTCTTTTGCACCAAACATATTTTCCCATGCCTTTTGTTTATAAACTGATACTTTTATAATGTAAGTAGGATACAACTATGTGTAATTCTATTCATCTCTGTCCAAGTGTTCATTACTTAAAGCAAAAAAAAAAATCTCACAAGGATATATCCAATATTTACACTGCAATGTTTTTTTCCCAACATGTCCTTCTGTGAAATGCTATTTCACTGCTTCTTGTGCTTTATCCTGCATTTCTATTGGTTCATTTAATAAGACTGGCTTTTCAGATTTCAGTTTCTTCTTTAAAATTAGGAGAACAAGTGTGCTTGGGATGTAGGATACTCCACGCAACACTGCTGGCAGGCCAAGGTAGTGCCACCTGAAATAAATAATGAGCTCCATTAAATACATGCATTTGTAAAAAAAATGGGCAAAACTATTCAGCAAACATTGTTTTGTGAAGGTTACACGGCCACTCTAAAGCTTGTGCCTTGATGATTTTGGGTCTTACAGAAGATGAGAATGTGAGAACAGAGAATATGAAAAGGTAAAATGGCCTTTTACATCTCCCAGTTTCAGGCAGATGATTTGGTCAGTGAAGTCAGGCACCTGGTACTCCTATGGCTTTATCCATAGGGAAGAGAGAGAGTCCTGAAAGGGCTCAGACTACCTAGTTAAAATTTGTAAGTATTCATAAGAATCTTTTTCCAAACCAACCTCAACACAGTATTAAAGAGAATTAGTATGAGGCCACAAGTTCAACAAGATTTTTCTTTTAAAATCGCACATTGATCCTTGAAGGACTACAAAAACATGAAGTGCAGTATTCTGGGCCAATTTCCAACTTAAGTAACTGTATCTTCTCCATAAAATTCTTCTTTTTAAAATGCAAGTTCCAACCACTGTTCCAACCACTTCCTGTTCAAAGATATTGCAGTCACCCATTGAACCTTTTTCCCACATATGCTAACTGCTTTTCAGTATTTTTATCATAATTCAGGGTTTTCAGAGCTTGTTCTCAGGAGAGGTTATTAGTGAATATTATGGCACCAGAACATTGCTGTTCAAAGGTTTTTCCAACGTCTGTGTCAAAGGTTGCACTTTGTAAATAAAGCCAATGCCAAATAAAATTGTATCATATCTCTAACACAGGAGCAGTTTCTCTGCTAGGGAGACAAAGTGTATAAAATTAAATCTCTATGCATGCAATAACAGAGTAAGAAGGAGAAATTAAACTAAAGTAGAAAACATACCTGTATGTGACAATATCATACATCCTACACGCTCCTTCCCCACCACAAGTCATAGTACCCCACTTCAAGCAAGTGGTATCTATCAGGGCTCCAAAATAAATGGGAGATGGAATTCCAGCTAAAAAGAACATGAGCAAAGCTTTTGTGAAGGGCAGTTCTGGTTATCAGATGCAGCACAGAGCTCATGCTGCTTGTCACCTACTCCATCTGTACTGTCCTCTTGCAGCACGAGCCTCGTTCTCTATCTTGTGCTTCTTCTCCTTCCTTACCCACCTACCCTCAAAAAAATCTACAAAGATTTTCCTCCCTGCTGCCTGTCACACAACACCCACGTGCAGCAGCATGGACTGTGTTTCCCACTCAGAACTCAAGGTTTTCTCTCATCAGTGAGAGGCAATGCTGCCTCCAATAAGCATAAACAACAAGCAAAGTGAAGGAATGCCAAATGGCTTTCCAAGGAGCAGCTGATGTAGTCCTGTGTCCTGGTTTCTGCAATATACAGTTAATACAGTTAATTTTCTTCTTAGCAGCTGGTACAGTGCTGTGGTTTGGATTTAATATCAGAATAATGTTGATAACATATCTATGTTTTTGTTGCTGCTAACACTGCCCTCTTGCAGCACGAGCCTCATTCTCTGTTTATCTTGTGCTTCTTCTCCTTCCTTACACACCTACCCTCAAAAAAATCTACAAAGATTTTCCTCCCTGCTGCCTGTCACACAACACCCACGTGCAGCAGCATGGACTGTGTTTCCCACTCAGAACTCAAGGTTTTCTCTCATCAGTGAGAGGCAATGCTGCCTCCAATAAGCATAAACAACAAGCAAAGTGAAGGAATGCCAAATGGCTTTCCAAGGAGCAGCTGATGTAGTCCTGTGTCCTGGTTTCTGCAATATACAGTTAATACAGTTAATTTTCTTCTTAGCAGCTGGTACAGTGCTGTGGTTTGGATTTAATATCAGAATAATGTTGATAACATATCTATGTTTTTGTTGCTGCTAAGGAGTACAGACATCAAGGAGTTCTCTGTGTCTCATGCTCTGCTTGTGAGGATCTGCACAGGAAACCAGGGGTGAGCATGGCCAGGACAGCTGGCCCAAACTGGGCAAAGGGAAATTCCACAATCTGCAGTGTCGTGCTTAGTGCACAGAGTGGACAGAAGTGGCAGGGATGCACCAACAGCTGCTTGGGAGTGGGACAGATATTGGTCAAGAGATCACAAACAATTTTATTCTGCATCACTTTTCTTTCTTTTGTTTTATTCATCTCTCTAGTTTTCCTATTATTATTATATTTTACTTTCTTTCATTGCTAAACTATCCTTTACTTGACCTGCATGCTCTACTTTCCCAGCTCTCCTCCCTATTCCATGTGGGAGGAGAATAAGTGGATGCATAGCACTTAGATCCTGACTGGGGTTAAACCAAGATACCAGCCTATTACCCAGTACAAAAAATGCAAACTGCAAGCAGTTCTACTTTGCCACGCTCTGAGAACTGTAAAAAAAAAAAAAAAGTCCCAAATGCTTCCTGATCAAAGGCACTCCATAGAAGCAATGACTCCTGTGCCATGCCCACAGCCCTGATGGGATCCTTCTCTAGCTCTAGTCAGCCCTAATTGTTCTTCTGAAGTGTGTAAGATATTTTCTTACCAAATACTCTTGAAGCCAGCCCATGGATACCCACTCCAAATGACTTTTCTTCAGGCTTCAGAGACCTGTAATGATAATGTAATGACTGTAATTATAATTGCATTGTAAACTTATTCGTAGAGGTGACATTAATAAGAGATGTTTAACCCTTTTTGAAATCGAGTTCTTAATCACATTAGGCCCAAACCATTCTAATAATGATCTCGTTATGCTCATTAGGTGATGTTTGATGAAAAGTTCCTTATCTAGGACTGCCAAATCACAAAAGGAAAAGCTACTGTCAGGGTAAGGGACTGAGGCCAACACAAAGTGCAGGGTAGTTGTGCCTTAATCAACACCCTGAGGCTGATAAACTCTCAGCTATCACACACCACCCAATATCCCAGAGCCCTGACTCAGGGCTCCTGCATTCATCCAGGATAAAGCTGACAGCCAGAAGCTACATCAGATTACCAAGGTGACATGACACTAAACCTTAACAGCACAGAAATTACATCAGATTCTTCTGCTCTTCCTCTTTCCAATTGCAAACTAAACACCTTTTAATTCCCTGGAGAATTAAAACCTCAGAATAAAAAGTCTGGTAGATTTCTTAAGACAAGGAAATTGTGCTGTACCTTATTAAGACCATGTATCCAGGCATGGCTGCTAAGGAAAAAATGAAGCTGCAGACTAATGTCAAGATTAAAAAATAATGGAGCATCTTTTCACAGCTTTCGTGTCCATCACACTGGCCCAGAGTTGCAGAGAAGTTTTGAGATGAAAACCCTGAGGCAGCAACACAGGTGCAGTTTTCAAATACCTATCAAAAGAGTATTTTAATCACACACATTGTCCAAACTCCCACTCTGAGTGGCAAACCCATCTCATTGTCTCCTGCACTCAAGCCTGTTACTCATGAGCAGCACTGCACTGTGGCCTCTCCCAGTCTGCCAGGCACAGGTCCAGCCAACCCCTGTATTTGGGGATAAAAGTTCTATAATACCTGGATACCTGTTTAAATCTACAGGGTAAAAGAGATTATTAAATTCATGCTATAGACTTTCATTTTGGCTGAAATGTTCTTGGCCACTCAGGTTTCCAATTGGCAACACCTTCAGAATAATTTCTCATTCCTTGTTAATCATTTAAGATTCCTTAGTTCTTAGTACAGAAGAATTCTTCTTCATTATATTTTTTTTTAATTTTAGCTTAAACTGATTTTCATATGCAGTTTGAAATTTCTGGTGCTGCTCAATTAATTTTTTCAAACATTTCACCTTATACATTCAATTAAATGTACATGCATGGATATTCCCCACCCTATATTGTTATAAATATTTGCCACCTACTATATTTCATAGTTATAGTACAATAAAATGTATGCTTTACCAAACTTCTTCCAGTTCCTCTTGAGGATTTGCACCCAGCAAGACAAGGTGACACGTAAGTGATTCCATTGCTCCCACAAACTGGGTCCCATATTTTAAGTGGGCAATCACAGTCCATGTTGCAGCCAGCCAGCAGAGTGTTTTCTGCATATGAAACTTGCTCTATTCTGAAACATATTCAGAAGATGAATAAATATTTCAGTAATGAGAGACCCACAGTAACCCTTTGCAATTAAGATCCTATTCTAGCTCAAGTGTTGAATCAGGACCCAACCTGAAGTCAGGCCTTTCTATAGGACACTAAATTGTATTATATTACATTAATATAAAAAATTAGATATGAATACCCCACAGCATTTTTCTCATCTGTGGCCTGTATGCTCTTGGTTGTCCCTAAGGGTTTTATCTACACCTCCATGTCCATTTTGCAGACACACAGCACAGCCTGGCCTAGTGGAAGTGTCCCTGCCCATGCAGGGAGGTTGGAAATAAAGGCTCTTTAAGATCCCTTCCAACCCAAACCTTTCTATGATTCCCAGTGATCAATGGCAGGCTTCAAATCAAGGAACTGCAGATAAAATATCCTCTGATAACTTGATGGTAATCAAATTTGAGTAAACTGGTGTAAGATCAAGAAGGTGATTTTTTTCCTCTCCTATTCTGAAATTGCACTCACATGTGCCTGATTTGAGCAACAATTTTTATTTTCACCTGCAGTTACATGACTTCACTAATTGTATTAGTAAAAGAATTCATACGGGCATGCAATTGCATGAGTCTTGACATGGATATCTTTTTTAATACACTTTTATTGTTTGAAACAGGGATAACAGACCTACTGTCTAATGCAAGCAAAAAGCCTTGAGAATTTAAAACAGGGAACTGAAATGGAGCTCCTGGCTGATTCCTGACAAGAAAAATCATCCTGGTGTCTTAAGACTGAAGTCCTGCTGAGTCCCAAAGAACATACCCTTGATAGGAAACTGTTAGCCCAGCAACTGGTGAGGTATCACAGACAGTCCAATAGGCAGCAAAGTAGAGAAGGTACTCCAGTAAAGATACCCAAAATGCTATGTTCGCAGCCTGATAGATATTTATCTTGAATTTCTTCATGAATAAGCCGCCAGAAAAATACCCAACGCATAGAACTGGCAGGTTGTAAACACCTATTTAAACAAGTGAAACTTCCATGTTAAAACAAAGGAGACCATCAAAGCTACTCTACTATAGGGCAGCTAGAGAAGTAGCTACTACAGCTGCTGTAGGGGAAGGTTGTGTTTGGCAAAAAAAGAGTGCCTGGGACTGAATAATGAAACTACAGTCAGAAATGGGTCTCTGCTAATTTCCTTTCACAGCCAAAACCTCTGCCAAAGTCAACAATTTCAGGTGAGAACTGCTTGGGGAGTGAGCTACATGGTAGGGCAAAAATTATTAATTGGAAAATGGCAATCTAGAGTTGCACTCTAGATCCAACTCAAAAAAAAAAAAAAAAAAAGAGAGAAAAAAAAAATTGTTTAAATCCAGCCTCTCCAGCTGACTGAGAATGACTGAGAAACTCAACAGAAAGATCTGTGCACATCTCAATTAAGTGCACAGCTTAATTAAGACACATCTCAATGCACTCTAAGCACGTCAGAAAGGAGGAACAGGCTTTCAGTTTTGAGATGAGATTACTGAATGTGCTCGCACACTTTGATGATTGATGCTTAAAAGAAGCAAATTCTGACTGAAAGACACGTTGGAAGTGGTTTTACACAAACATCACATGGCTTAGTTTCATATCAGTTGAATTTTCTGAGCCAATTCAAAAGCTGGGAATTAGATTATAAAATTGTGCACAAAAAATGGATGTTTAGCAGAAAATGCATTGACATTTTAGAAATGTTTTGATGTGATATCCCTCACCTGTAGAAGCATTTAAGCTTAGTATGTATATATAAATACACATGAGCATATGTATATATGTGAAAATATAGGTAATTTGAATAGAGATAGAAGAATAATTAATAGAACAAAGCAAAATGTGAACATACCAATTAAAAAGATGGCATCTGATGCAGATTTCCCAAACTGCTGCTCCAGATACTTGGGCATGAAGGATACCATGCCATCGAAGGCACTGAACTGCAACACAGTTATGCATATAAATAACATGTACACAGGGTTGTGAAACAGAGCCTTGAGGAAGGGGATGAAATCTGCAATGAAATAATGCCTTGAGTTAGTGTGATGCTGTATGAAAAGAATGTAGCTATGAGGGAAAGGGGGGACAGAAATGGTCCTGGACTGGGTCAGGATAAACCTTGTGCTTTTCCAGACACCACAGCCCAAAGATTCCTTGCTTAGCCCAGGGTCTCCTCTGCCCAAAGATACCCTCACACACACACATGAACACCACTGCAGCTGTTCCTTATCAAAAAATAATAAATCACAGCAGCAACAGCTAGTGCCCCATCTTCCCTCCCTTTTCTCCCATCTCATGCCCCAGAGCATTCAGCAAAAGCCCTGTCCTGCAGCTGGCATCCCAAATGCACTCTAGAGCTGTCAGCTGGGACCTGGACTTGGATTTTGGGGTTTGCTGCTGGGGCAGAGGAGGCCTGAAGAGAGCTGCAAGCACAGTTATTCCCACCATCCTCTCAAAATCTGCATCAGGCAGTTTTCAGCCAAGCAAGCATCTGAGAAACTGATTTACACAGGTCTTTCCTCTGAGTAATGCCCATTAAGTCAGGATTTGAACCATAAAAAAAGCCCCACAATTCCCCTTTGTCTAATGTTCTCTGTTAATCAATGTGCTGAGCTATTGTCAAGAAACTCTGCAGATAAATTTAAGCATCTACAAAACAATGACTGGGCCTCACTGAAAGTGGGCAGCACTTAGGATGGGTGTGTATCTTCCAGAGCTAGACAAGTACCTTATTAAAGTAGATCTGTGTGCAAATCTTTCAAAAATTAGTCAAATATTAGAAACATTATGAATAGGCTGTATTGTTTACAGACGCAGTGACATTTTTAATCAGAGCTTCTTAAGGAAATTTTATTGTTATTAAATTAATTTTATTTGCGGTTATTTTTAACTATCAAAAAATCAAGTTTTGACTTGAAATCCCTTAAAAAGTTGTCTGAATGTGTCCTGGTCAATAGGCTGAGAGTGGTTGAACAGGGATTGGACCAGGTGACCTCCACAAGTCCCTTGCAACCACAACTACCCTGTGGAATTAAAAGCTTCTACATTCAGGATGTTCAGGGACAGTGAACATTCCCACCAACACAGGCAGGGAATGACCATGAAAATATCAGCTCTGAAGGGATCCTGGAGCACTAAGGACCCACAGCTGAGCTGGGGGGACAGTATTTTATTCATGGATTCATTTAAGACTAGGTGACAGCAGAAAGAAACCCTCTGTTTGTCAAAATGAATCTGCAATATCAGCCAAGACCTAAGGAATCACTCTGGGTGAGGTGAATCTGCAGGAGCCAGCTGCAAACAGCCCAGAGAGGGAGTTCCACTTGGAATTTACTTTCTAAAAATTTCTGAGGTGCTGTCAGAGGGCCCTGAGCAGGACAGGCTGCTCTGAAGATCATAGCCTTTGACATAGTTTATTCACTTACATTTCCAACCAGGAAATGTAGGAAGGATGTTTCCTTCAAATAAGGAAGAAAAAAAATATCCTCCTACAAAGACATAGATTTGAAAGAGCACAGATGTGAAAGTGCCAGGTGAATAAATGTGAGTGGAACACATCTTTGTTCAACAGTAATTAAATGTTTATGAGACCAGTTTATTCACTTACATTTCCAACCGGGAAATGTAGGAAGGATATTTCCTTCAAATAAGGAAGGAAAAAAAATATCCTCCTACAAATACATAGATTTGAAAGAGCACGGATGTGAAAGTGCCAGGTGAATAAATGTGAGTGGAAAACATCTTTGTTCAACAGTAATTAAATGTTTATGAGACACTTAAGCACCTGTCAATTCCCTTTCAGGGCTTTCAGCTGGACTCAAGAAATGCCCAAGATTTATGTTGGGCTTCTGCTTTTCTGCACAGTGAATGTGGGGTACAAGCAACCAATACCTGCACCTCATCCCCAGCTCACTGAGCTGTAATATTCCTACCCAGATTTCAGCCCTCTCATGGGGAGAAAAGACCTACATACACCTGAATTGCAGGAGGGAAAAAGGAAGGTTCCAGATCCCAGATCTATGAAATCAGCTTTTTTCCATTCTAGATTCCTGCACAAATCCCTTGAACTGCAGAGACATCAGAACAGGGCAGGCACTGCACACCTTGGACCCACCTTCAATTACAAACAACTCAGAGTTCCCACCTTAGGACTAAAGTTAGGGGGAAATAAAACGCAACACAACTTGCCTTTAGCGATTTCATACATGGTCTGTTTGGTTTCATTCTTGTCATTTTCCTGCAGTGGTGTTGCAGTTTTTTCACTTGTCTCCTCAGGTTCACTGGCTTCGCCTTCCTTCACGAGGGACTGGGGCAAAAACCAGAATGGGATTGCCACGAGGAGATTGAGCAGTGCACAGATCAAAATGCCCAGCCACCACGCCCCAACCCAGCGGGCATCAGTGGCTGTTATGGTGATCTCATCTAGGATAAACCACAAAAACACGCCTCTTGATCGCTTCAGAAACATTCTCTGCTGTCATTTTGTGCTTTCCCAGTCTCTCTGACATAAAAGAGTTTTAATGATTCTTAAAATGAGGCTCATGAGGGAGCACATTCTCCAGTTTTCTAACATTGCTAATTTTCTGGTAAATTTCAGTGGTTTGTATTAATTCTAGTCCTTTCCTGTGTTAAGCCAGATGACACAATTTTTCATCAAATAAATTGTAAGCAGAATTGATTTGTGTACCTATGAATATTATACACAGATCTTCTATTCTAAAATAAACACCGATGAACTCAGGTGGGATTAACTCATATTAGCAAGGAAACATCTTTTAGCTCTGAAAAATACACCTTAAAAACAAGGTTTTATATGTTCACACATTACCTGCATCTACTGATCCAATGTCAACAAACAGCTCTGCACAGAATGAAGCCAACAACAGACCAAGGAAGGGGCCAATTACAGTTGCTGTATGTAGACATGCTAGAGTAGGAAAAGGAGAAAACATTCTGAATTAGAACCCAGTCACAATTATCTTCTTGGAATTGTTACATATGGCTAGGACAGCTCTACTGGAAAAGCAATGGCACCTAAAAATGGCCTCATTCCAACAAGTTTCTCTCTGGTTAAATTGCAAGTTCCACAATGTTATTATTTTGATAAAGCAATAATTAATATTTTCTGTCTTCCTTTATTGGGCTGAAGGGCATCACCATAATCCTTTCTTTTGCTTTTGTTTCTGTGTGTGTGTTTGGAGAAAGGGAATTATCACAACAGGGTGAATTTACCCAGGTAGAAAGGTGAATTCTCTGCTTTGGCAAAATCCTCCAGATAGGAAATGCCTAAAGGCATGATGGGGGTTTCACCCATCCCTCGCACGATGTTTCCAACCATCACAAAAATCCACAGCAGGGACCCAGGCTCTTTTTCACATTCTGTGCAGAAAACAAAAGTCAGGATGAATGTTTTAGTCCCAAATATTAGTGAAAATCTAGAGACAAAGAATTGACCAATAGCTTCAGCTTTGGTGGGTAGGCCTGTCCTATAAAAAGAAAAGCTGAATAACAGGTCACAACACAGTTTTAACTTCCTTTCTCTCCTTGAACTGGGATTTCTTCATCCCACAGTCTGCTTCAGATTCCACTGCTCTCTCCCACTTTGTCCTGCTGAGATGTCCCAGTGCAAATTCATTAACCAATAAAAACCAGCTTTGTTAGCAGCAGCTGCTGCTAACACCATTTTACCCAAGTATATTCATAGGCATGAGGGTCTATGGGATCTATGTGCATATTGAGTGGCTGTACATAATTTGGATGAAAATTATTTAATAAACAATCACCTTGCCCAAGTATATTCATAGGCATGAGGACCTATGTGCATACTGAGTGGTTGTACACCATTTAGATGAAAATTATTTACCTTCCTATACCTTTATTTTTGCATTTATAAAATGGGAAAAATTTCAGAAAGTATCTGAAACCTCCAAGGGAAAGGTTAATGCCGAGTGCTGTTAGATATGCAGATTTCACTTCCTGTTGCAAAGATGCAAAAATTGACATCGCAACTGACATGTAGCCTTGGAAAGCTTGGCAGCTGCATCCATCACTAAATGGAGACCCAGAAAACCCCAGCACAAGGCAATGGTTTGATGTCCCACACCCAGGAATTACAGCAGTGGGATCCAGCTCTAGCACACCCTGATGGAACTCATCAAAGCTCAGGTCACCTCACTTCTACCATCCAGCAACCACCAAAGTTTCCAGCAGTCAGAGGCCCACCCAAGAGGTAATCTGATGCACCCCAAGGTACAGAGATGAGTGTCTGACTTTATGATGCTGCTGTCCCCACTGTCTGCTCCCTTGCCCCTGACAGCAAGCTCTGCAGGAGCTCTGTGGTCTCCTCTGCCCAGCAATCCAGGGAGGCTGAAGGGATGGCTCAGACTGGATGCTTCCCTTTGGAATAGCTAAAGCCCAGGAGATTAATCCCACCCTCAGCAGGAGAATTTTCTGTGTGCTCATTAAATGGTGTCCTCTGAGCCCTTTGACTTCCCAGTATTTCCTTTACACATTGCTAGTGCACATCCATGTTTCAGTCTCACAGATGAGTTTTAGCCTAGTTTAAACTATTTTCTCTAAAGGGAAGTAAGATCTCTATTTTATATTGTAGTTCTACCTCTGTTTCTCATTCTTTTATTTCCCACATGGTACAACAAAAAAAGCATCTTTATGCCTCTTACCCATTGCTGAAATATGCTCCCCACCTCCTCATAGTATCATAGAATTTCAAGTTAAAGAGAAATATTTGTGAGAACAACCTGGTGTTATACTATCCCAAAGTGGACTGCCAGGGATGTTAATTGAACTGCCTGGATAATGTGAAAACTACATGCAAGAAATGTTTTAGCTCTGGAGTCACAGAGGCCAGGAAATTTCTGAACTTCTAGTTTCTAGACCTTGAAAAAACACTGATCAAAAGCAGAACCCTGAAGTGTTTGCTAATAAAAACAAAAATCCATTTCTTTAGACACTATAGACACAGAAAAAAACCCATTAACAGACATAGGAAATGTCATACCTGTTGATGGTTCCTCTGTAGGCAAAGAGGACAAGTTCTGATTAACAAGGCATAGAGGCATCACTGAAACATTTTCCCATTGTGAAATGCTGCTTTCAATGTGATATCTGTTGGGAAAAAAGGAACATTTGTCTGTGCTGGAGTAATGGAGCTACCTATAAGAGTGTGCAGCTGTAGGAAGAAGGGAATCCATGGCAAAAGTCAACAGAGGGTGCTGCCAAGGCGGCCAGAGCAATTCCACACTGGACAGAACAGGACTGAAGGATCAAAAAATACCTTGCTGATTAAAGCCTACATCATTATTTTTTAAGCCAAGCAAAAAGTCATTTCAAAGGAGTTGAAGGATCATTATGGTTAGTACAAAATGGTCAGTACTAAATTTGCTTTTATCTTTCAGTCAGAACAGGTAGATGACATCTCTTCACTGTGGACATAAGAAATCAGTTTGGCACTGAAAATAGCTTGAGAAACATCTATTTCTTATGCTCTGGGAGGTCTCTTTCTCTGAATAAATTCCTAGAAGTGTGGAGAAGACAGAGTCCCAATTTTCACTCTGCATTGTTCAGGTTAAAAAAGATTTACATAACACTGTCATTTCGTTGTGCCAGTTTGTGGTGATTGATAATACCCAATTTCATTCTCGCCAACACAGTGCCCAGGTGTGATCTCTCATCCAGGATCCAGACCAAGAGCTCTTTGGAAATCACAATTTCTATTGCCCATCCAAGCAGATAAGAGCCAAAAGTGACGGTGTCACAGCTGTTACTTGGGAGAGCCCATGCAAGGGGAGATAAAGGATTAAAAAAAAATTTAAAAAAAAAAAAAGGTGCCCAGCAAAGGGGTGATTCTCTTCAGGAGGTGGTCAGTGACTTCTGGAGCCATCTCGGGAGCAAAGCCAAAGAAACTGCAGAGATCACACTGAACCCATGCTCTGCAGTGTCTCCCCCCATGAGCAGCACCCCCAGTGGGAGGATGAAAGGGTTAATGCCAGTAGGGATCACAGAAGCTGCTGTGAGTCAAGCAAAACACTCACCTCCCAAACAGAAAATGAGGAAGTGATATCAAAAGACATCCAAAGGACAGGACTGTGCAGCCCAAAGCAATTATTCTGGGTCTGTGAAGCTTTGCTCCAAAGTAACTCACAAATGCTATCAGCAGCAAGTTCCCTGCAAAGAGAACCTGGGTCAGCACCTGCAAACCAAGGCACCCCATAATCCTTGCAAACCTGAGCACATCTTGTGAGCTCAGCTTCTGCTCCTTTTTTTGTCTTTAAAAAGTGTCACTACACAGGGAACTGCCTGCATGGTGCAGTTGTTCCCTGCTGTGCACGGTCTTTTTTTGGAAGAGTTACATCACCTGAAAAGGACATGAGGGTAAAAGGCAGGATGGAAAAGAGAGCACAGTGAGGGAGATTTTTGAGTGCACCTTTATAGAGGAGAAATTTCCCACTACTAGGCATAGAGATCAGGCCCAGGGACTGCAGAATAATATAGGAATGTTATTAGGAATATTCCCCCAGTATACTTTATTTGGTAATGTGTAGGGAAATACAGAAGTATATATACTAGTGGTTTTGTAGTGGAAATAATAAAACCAAGAGGACCATCATACAAAAAAAAAAAGGAATAATAATTTAATATTAATTTTATTAATTGCTTAATAATAAAAAACACAGGTTTTTATACCTAGTACCATTTAAAAACAAAAATGTACTAAAAATCTTCCTTTTCCTCTCCTCCACTTTTACTTAGAAGCAGTTATTTTTTCCATTTATTGCTATGCAACTAAGAAAAGATTCAAGCTTCATGTTATGAATCAGGCCCTATAAAAATAGCAATTTAATCATTTTACACCTACTAATTTTATGATCTTTTTGTCAGAAGAACAAAATCATGTCTCTGAGTGATGAGCGTCATGCTCTGAAAGAAAATAATGCCTTTTTTATGTATGATTTCTAAACAGGCTGTGCTGAATCAGTGGCTTGAATAACACTTAAAGATGTACATTTCAGTTTCTCACTGGACAATAAAACTTACTGGCAGGCAAGGTAAGGGGCACTACAAGTAGAACTGGAAATTTTCTTTGCAAGGACAGTTGGACAGGTATGAAAACTTAAAATATCATTGAGTTTAGGTAAGGATTCACAGTCCACTCCAACCAAGTTTAATAAAGGAACTGCAAAATGCTAAATATGACCTTAAATTCAAACAAAGTTTACATAGCTGGTTTTTTTTATTTTTGTTTTCTTCAGAAAGATTCAATACACATCTCATAAACTAGTTCTATTTTGTTACTCTCTCCGTCATATCTTATGATAGTGCACAAATTAGCTGAACCAGCTTTTAAACCTAAATTTGCCCATTCAAGTGGTCCTATTCACTTCCAAGACATTTCCAGGTTATATATCAGCTCAAAAGAATGCCAGAGTTGGCCACTATTGCCACACAGAGCAATTGAGAGCAGGTGAGAGTCACTAATACATGCTCAGACCACACACTACATTTTAAAAGAATCAGAAATATCAAAAAGAGAGATTACCAATTTCAAAGCTTCCATTAATGATGCCCACTAAAGAAGCTGGGATATTAAACTGTTTCTCTATCTGTGTGTACATGCTGTTCATGTAAGCACCAGACATCGTTTTCCCAAGGAAGGCAAGTGACAGTGCCAGCAGAAATACCTAGGAAGGGAAGAGAAGAATGCACAAATCATTCAAAATTACATATTTATGAATATTCCTCCGTTATTTCCTCCAGTTTAAACGGTGAGCGGTTTCATCTATTCTTTTCTAGAGTTATAGCTTTGCTTTTGCTAAACAAACAATAAAAAAATTTAAAAGAAACCCACAAATAAAACACACACCAAAAAACAAAAAAAACCAAAACAAAACAAAACACCAAAAAAAACAAACAATAAAAAAAATTTAAAAGAAACCCACAAATAAAACACACACCAAAAAACAACAACAAAAAAAACCAAAACAAAACACCAAAAAAAACCCACCAAAATCAAACAAACTTTGTTCTTCATCTTCTCTAATTGAGCAAGACTGCCTTCAGAAACCCCAGGTCCCCTTTACCAGCCAAGGCAGCAGTGCCTGCTGCAAGGTTGCCACCTGCAGGACCTTGACCCCTGTTCACCCCAATGACAAATGGCTTGCAGAACTAAGATCCTTTCCCTTGGCAGAATTACTCCATCCAGGATCTGCTCTCCCATCTCAGCAGAGATCACAGAACAAGTGATTTCAACCAAAAGGAGTAAATAACATGCCCTTTTTACAAGACAATTAGATAGCTACAAAGTTAACGAGTGCAGCAATATTCAAATCCTTTTAACTTCAGACTTCTTCATAAACAGCATTTATGAAATGAAATCAATATTATTTTTAAATACATCTGCTGCAAAAGCTAAAAAGGAAAATAAATGCATTTGGGTTTTTAATTACTTTTTTTTAAAGTTATTTTACAAGATTTTGTAGCATTTCTTGACAACTTGAATTAATTGAAGATCAACAGGCAGTTTTTACTGCCACATCCCAGCCAGTAAAGCTCATTTCACAGCTTTAAGGAAGGGTAAATGTGTTAGGCTGGGGGGATTACACAAAGTCAGTGGTGGAGTTTCAGAGCAGCAATCAATCACCTCCAACACATCACAGAGTGGAAAGTTCAGGCAGAACAAAAACCAGCACAGCTGTTTACAAACTTTTGTAAGGGCATTAAAGGTAAAAAAGACCAGCTTATCCGTTCATTTAATCCAGGCTGTAACTTCTACCAAAATACTTTGGTATTTTTTAGTAAATTTGGTATTTGCAAGTAATTTGGTAAATGCAAGTAATTACAGTTGTGTGTTCCTATAAAATTGCTAAAATATGGCTGTACCTTCAGCTTGGAAATGCAGCAGAATTTGTCCTCTGCACGTGGCTTCTCAGGCTCCTTCATGTTGCCTTTTTTAATTGACACTGCTGTCTGTTTCTGAGTCTGTCAGCCATCCCATTGCAGTGTTGAAAAAAGATGAGAGAAAAGAACAAAAGGTTTTGTCCATGTTTGCAAAAATATTATATTCCTTCTCAGAGATTTGGCATTTTTGCATTTTCCTTCAATAATTGCAAACTGGATTGCAACAAAGCCTACCAGCAGATGGATTTTATTCTAAATGAAGTAACTTGGTTAGAGTAGAGACATGAATCCCTTGGCATTGAAATTACAGGAAAACAAAATAAAACCAAAACCACCAGACCAACTCAAGCTCTAAATGGACACAAAACAGACTCCATTCTCCTTCCCCTCCCAAGATTTTCAGTATATTCCTCTTTATTCATCTGCCTGCTTTTTCTTATCTCCATCTCAACCTGATGATTACAGTGGTCTCACAGTGCTAAGCTAAATTTTGTTGAAATTTACATATATTCCAAAAATTAGTTCAGAGAGGGAGCAGTATATTCCAGGGACTTGGCTATACTGACCTGCAAAACCCCCACACATCTGAGGGTTTGCAGAGTGAATCAAACAGGTTTTTATTCTCTAAGGGCTCCCACAGAGACTCCATTAAATAAAATTATGCAATGCAGTTCCCTGAGGCCTGATGGAGCAAGCTGAAGAAAACCAGGGCAAGCCAGAGCCCTACCTGACAGGCAGGATGGACACAGGTGAATTTCCTCTTTTTTTGCCTGGGGAACACTTCCCAGGGGATCCTGCAGCACCTCTCTGCTCTGTGCTTCCCACCTCATGGGTCCAGGAATGGGGAGCAGCTTGACCAGCCCACCAAGGACTCGGCTGCCTTTCAAATTCTTCACCTCGGCACCCTCCTGGCCAGCCTCTCCAAACATTAATTTCTACAACAATGTTAATCCTCTCAAATGTGTTTCCTAACTAACTCGATTCCTAGCAAGTCCACAGGCATTAACTCCTTCTCTAGCTACCTTCTCACTTGCAGTTTTTAAAAGCATAATGCATTATTACAGCGTTCCTGGAAATACTTTACAATTAACTGTAGGTGGTCAGCACTCAATTATCTGTGATAGATACAGAGATTTTATCTCTGCTTTGCTCACAGATACTTCTACAAACTGTGGTCAATCACGGGAGTAAACTGTGCTAGTACAGTTTAGCACAGTAAACTGGGCTTTTTTCCAATTTTAAATAAAATTTCTATCCCAGGGAATCATTTATGCCTTATCTAAATTTATCTATAATAATAATACTGCTTTTCTCTGAAGCCCACCAGGAATACCAAAACATGACAGCAGTGCCCTATATCTGTCCTCTTCTAGGAGCTGGCAAAGGGATTCTTTCCCTCACTGTAGCAGTCCCTGAACTTCACTGTCACACACAGGGAACATCACCTGGCTAATTGCAGGTTTTCTCTCCTGGTGCTACAAGATACCAGACAGAGCCTGTTACCTGACTTGGGGAATCAGACACATCACACTGCTCCTCATGCAATTACAGCAGTCAAAACAGCATTGTTTGCCTTTAATTATTCATACCTTCCCTCAGAGCATAAATCATGATCCAGGGAAAAAAGCATTTCAACTAACTTTTTACTGGGAAGATTATTAAGAGTATTAATTGAATAACAAAGTAGACAGAATCATTATTCCCAGCTCTGTTTCTGAAATTGCTTTCCCCAGCTTTATAATATTTTGTGGTCACACTTCATCAAATGTTACTGACGCCAACACAGACTAACAGCCCAAATTATCAGAAAGACACAGGTGCATAACTCACTCAGCTCAGGTGCACTCACAGCACTCTTTAAGTCCAGGTTAGAATTTAAATGACCATTTCTGTGCCTCAAAATTAACCAGGTGTGCTCCCATTTACCTGCTCTCCATTGTACATTCCTCTTGTGTACCTTGTTTACAAGGGCTCTTCAGACTCATCTGCAAAGCTCTTTAGCTCATTAAACAGGCCAAAATATAGCTCTATTAAAATACAGTTATGTTAAAATGGGTATGCAAAAGTTTGCCCTCGGGTTCTGACCGACCTAGCAGCTGTCATGTGAACTCCTGCACTGAATCCCACTCATAAGCCTGCAATGCTCACTGAAATTTCAGGGAACAGGGCAGTAAAATTCCTTCCTCCACTTCTGCACTGAGCTGGTGGCATATTTATGGCAGGCTAGGAAGCTGGCAGTGCCCCAGAGCTACCTCTTCAGTCATCTCCACCTTCTGAGTAAATCTCCAGGGGCTGCCAGGACAGACAGGTGATGGAGGACACCACCCTGCACGTGCACAGAGATCTCTCACAGTGGGGGCAGCTCAAAGCAGCAGGAGGACACAGCACCCAGTAACCTGGGCTGGACAAGGCTGGCTTAAAACCAAAGCTGATCCTTCCAGTGAGGACCAAAAGAGGCTGGTTTGGTGCAGCTGGCAGCAGCAGGCAGGCAGGCACTGAGAGATCCCTTTGGACCCGCTTGTCCCACACAAACCCAGCACATTAAATCACATTTCACTGATGCCTCAGGTTTAGCTTTTCTATTTTTCACATTCTGAGCTGCTTTAGTGTGTGTGTCTGGGCCTCACATGAGGGGATGGTGAGCTCTGTGCACAGAGCAGGGAGACAAAACAATTCCTGCTCCAGCTGGGCACCAAGGACAAATGATCCCAATCTCAGCCCAGGAGCACAAACCCCGTGGGCTGCAGAGAGAAAAACAAGCAGGATGGGACTGCAGGGGCTGCAGCTGGGGTTGGACACTGAACTGCAATGTGCACATGGAGCAGAGCTGAGCCCAGGGAGAGACCCCGGCAGCGCTCGTGCATTTTGGGACCATTTGGGTTCATCCTGGGTGCAGCCCTGGCTGGGCTCTGGTGCTGCCCAAGGGGGATCCATGGAGGAGAGCCTTTGAATCAATCCCTGCTTTATTCTTTAACTCTATTCTAGGTCAGGCTTCACAAGGCATCATCACTCTAGCTAACTAACAAAAAGGAAAAAAGCACCCAAATATCTGTATTTAAAGTTGATGATGCAATATTTTGCAAGTTGCCTTGCCTAAGTCTCAAGAGGATATGCTACTTTCAAAGTACAATTCATCTTCCATTTAGCTCAGCTTAGTCATACAGATAAACTGCCACATCTTTATTTTGTTTACAGGGTTAAAAATCACAAAACATAATGATTCAGAAAGCAATTATGGTGGCAGAATTTTTAACTAATTTATTTTTCTGGTTGCAAAAAGCTTTTTGAAATCTTGTTTTACTAGGTACAGTTCAAACTGTTACTCAAATGCAATTACACTAATGTTAGACTGAGACAGCGGAAAATACCCTCATGGTAAAACAATTAGGTACTTACAGTTCTGAAAAGGTTTCTGCAAGAAATCGCTGATATGGGACACTTGAACCTTGACTTTAAAGCTACATTGTTGAAAATTAACCAAGTATGGGGCAATTTGTGTTTTTGCCAAATTGTTTCAGCTGTGTATTTTGGAGTGCTCAGATGTGACAGACATGGACTGAATTCTCAGAAGGAAAATTAAGTCCATCTCTTTCTCTTTCCTGCAAAAAAAAAAAAAAAAAAAAAAAAAAAGGCCAAGGGCTACATCTGTGTCAGATCTCTGAGCCTGAGGTGCTGCACTCCTGTCCACTGAAGACATCCAGAGAGCACCCACAAGCAAGAGAGGAACTTTAGGAGTCACCTAAGTGTGTAAATGTAGAGGCTGGGTGGACTTTAGGAAAAGGTGGCACAGGGTCAGAAGGGAAGAGGGGAATGAGATTAGGTTACTGATTACATTGCAAAATCAGAGAGTAAACTGACCAAGCACAAATATTTCTGGTTAACACAACAAGAAGAGATCATTTGACTTCAATTATGTCCATGAGACATCTCATCTAAGGATCAGTAGATACACCTTCAAGTCCTGAGTGGAAAATGCAGAGTACAATTCCTCACTGGTCCTAGTCTCAATGTTATATGTCATGATGATTTACCCCCCAAAAAAGGACATTTCTGCCCTCACTCTAAACACAACACCTTATTTTGAAAACTCTGAGGTCCAAGTAGCTCTTTCCCAGCCCTGCAGCTGCAAGGAACCCCTTCCAATCCATGAAAAGCTGGGAATGTGGACTGTATCTGCCCACAACCACAGCAGCCATGGGCTGCAGCCCCACAGGACGGGGCATGGCAAACCAGAGGAGGATGTCATGGCACAGAGGAGGTTCACCATCATTCCCCCAAGGTTTAAAACCATTTCATTTCTCAGAAGTGTCTGCTGAGATCTCTGGCAGTGCAGAGCTGTGATAGCTGAAGAGCCATGCACCTCCCAGTCAAAGAGTTTCTTACAAGGACAGTTTCTTACAAGGACAACACAGAATTTGCTTCTCAGGGTTGTGTCCTGGCCTGGGACCACAAAATTTCACTGCAAACTCCAACCTTTGAGCAGACCAGCAGAACTGAGCATAGCAGCCTCACAACAAAAACACTTCCACAACATTTTCACTCCTTTCACCCGCTCACAGGGGTCCCAGCATCTGCATAAATGAAAAAAACCCCTGCTCAAGGTATTTTGGGCACCTACTTTCTCAAAAGAAAGAGAAGGAGAATGCAAAATAAAGAAATCATTTAACTGATTCTCCATCAATCAAAAATGCATTTATGTAGGCAGTGTTTATACCAAACTAATCAAGAGGAGACACAAGGTCTCATTGTAGTGACTAGTGAAGAGACTCAGAGGTAAGACCTTGATCTACTCCAACCAGGTAGAAAATCATCCATCTGCATTTAGTAAAAAAAGTAGCGTGATGTTTACATATACCCTGTATAAGCAGAAACACAGACAAGCACAAAACTTCCTGCCCAGTTTGAGCCTGAATTCAGATTTACTTTGACCATCCAGTAAGATTTCCTTCCCTTTCACCTCAATGGAACTCATGTCAGCTGCAGGCTAAATAAAAATTCAGATCTCTCTTCTGTCCTCAACTCTGCCATCAGCTCTACTCATCCTTTTCAACTCATGATTGCCTCCATTTTTTCCCAAGTAA